ATTTTTTGGACATCTTATTTTTATTCATACACTGCTAAAAACTTTGGAACGGCTGAATTTATAACGATAATAATCTGCGAACAAAAATTTGTGGAAGCATATAGAAAGTAGTTTCAATAAGATATAGTTTTATAATATATGATAAAATTTGATAAATGAGGTAAAATTTGATTATTTTATTGCGTTATCTTGATACCTTAGAGCATGGCATAAAAATCATTTATTTAGTTAAATTTACTTTTCAGTTTTGTATCTTTAACTAAATGCATTACAGCAAAAACTATAATTTTGAAAACCAGCATTTCCGGTAAACCGTTAGTAATTTTTTTCTCAGTGTTTTCACCTCTCTTTCTCCCCAAAACATTTCAACTACCGGAAAAGAGAGAAGAATAAAGAAATAAAAAAGCCAAAAAATAAAAAAGTTTAGTTGAACTTGAAATTAGAATATAAATGTATAGAATTAAAACCTCTATGACAAAATAATTAATAAAATTGAATTTATATTATATAAATTCAGAGATTTTAGTCCTATTCAGAACATTAAAGATTTTAGGCAATTTTAGTCAAACTAACACAACAGTAACGTCAAATTAAAACAATAATAATTAATATTTAAAATTAAAAAAATTTTCATGACAGTATATGAGCAAAACTCCATGTTTAATTCAATTTAACATTGGTTATTTGCTAAAATGTAAAACGATTATTTCTCCTGAAGAGGGTTAAATAAACGACAAAAAGAGCTTAAACAATAGATTTTTCGGTGGGAGGTTTTATGTTCGATTCTTGTTACATGTCATCTATTTTCTCTTAATTGTTGGGGTGGAGTTAATAATAATTGACAACAGAAGCAATCATCGACCTGAGAGTTAGAAATGATTAAAGGAAGTGGTGGGTTGGTAATAATTGGAAGTAGCCGTCGACCTTTAAATGGGACAAGTCAACCAATTAATTCCTTTACCGTTTTTATAACGCCGTTTTGTTATTTCTATTGAGAGAAGACTACCAATAATTATTGATGCTTGCTTTCCTGTATAATGTCCACGCGCCGCTAGTCCATCAGCAATTAACTGCGCTCGTAGAAGCAAGACGATCTTAGAATTCTTATCTAAGTTCTGATAATGAGCGTGAATTATTAGAATTTGGTATCGTAATTCCGAGCCAAGTGATGGTATTAAAAAAAGAGACAAAAAGATGTGATGGACTGTTGCTTGCCTTGATTTCTCTGGGGAAAAAAGAAGCAATTTGTTTTTCTTGGTTTTTATTGGATGGATTTCTTTTTTATCTCTTGGCCTCTTTTAGGTCCATTAAATAGTTCTGATATCAATCAGAGTGTAGGTGGTAAAACTTTTATCATATATCTCTCAGAATTATAATTACATTTCTTTTTGTTAAGTTTGAAAGACAGAAAAGAACTTAAGCGTCTATTTGTTTCAAGCAAAATTCAAAATGCTTGGCTAAAGTTGATTCAAATAATATGAATTTTCGTTATAATTTTGAAGGTTTAGGCTGAAAAAAAAAAGACTTTTATTTAAAATTATCTTGGTCTGAGTAACTAGGTAAATAATTTTGACCATCCAAATCTTTGTAATTAAACATTAAAAAATATAATGAATTCATTTTTTTAACACTATGTAGTTCAATAGGTAGTAACTTACAACATTTTTTAGATTAATGCAGAGTTACATCACACATTTTTGTGTTCTGGAATTGTGAAAAACAAAATGTGTTTATTATTGCTTTCAATGTTTAAAAATTTCCAAATAGAAAGGGTTACCTTGAGCTGGCAGGGAGACAACGCTAAAAACTACGTAATGAGCACGAATTAACCTGTTCATTTGTGCTTATTCAATTGTTTCTTTAATTGTTTTAATATATAAAAACATTACATTATTTAGTATATTTCCTTGGTGTCACTGTGGATAATTTTTATATATATTAAATACATTTTACTGCACGAATTATTAGTTGGAACTTAGAGCTCTTTGTATTACCTTATGGAGTTTTGAAATGAATTTAATTATGAGTTGAAAAGCAAAAAATTGACAATTAGGGCTTTTAATATTGAATTTCTATAGTTAAGATAAGAATTTTAAAAAGGGAGCATTTTCCTATTTATCATTTCATGATAAAACAGTTTTTTTTAAATCTTATTTATTATTATTATTAACTTGATAAATTAAAACTACAAAATTATACAGATATAAACGTCAATTTTTCTTTACTACATGACGACTGGAAACGGTTCAACAAAGTTAATACGATTACAGTGATTTTGAGGTACAGATAAATAATTTTTTCGATTCAAGCAAACATTATTTCCTATTTACATAACTGAATTGAAATTCTTTTGCATTTTTTATTTATTCATTTGTCTTGTCTTAAATTTGTTTTGCTCCAAAATGCAGAAAAGTTTCAAATTATTTCAAAGAAAAGTTATTTTAAAACCACCACTTTAACACTGTTTTCAAAATATAATAGTAATTGATAAAAATAGAATTATGATGAAATAAAACAATAAATTATGTATGAAGCAAAATATGAAATAAAAACAAAAAACCTAATATCCACGTACCCGAAATCGGGCAGATTTTAATATAATTTGCAACCAACCCTTCTTCCTGAACCATTGCTTACAAGAGTTCTATACCTTTTGCTTTAATGAGATACACAGTGATTCATAATTTTAGTTTTTTAAAAAAAAAGTCAAGTGATTTCACAGATTTTCAGTTTTTTTAAGTCTCTTGAAATTAAAAAAAAAAAAAATAAAGAAATAAAAAAATAAAGGGTTAGTTTAAAAGTGTTTGATTCATTTTCCCCGTCAAAGATGCTTATTAAAATCTGATATCTGATTAAAAATTGCCTCTGAATACTAACTAATAGTTTCATCTCAAATCCCTATAAAGGAACAACACTACAAGAACTTTCAATAACTATGCGAGAAACAGAATGATCAACAAAAATGTTTAATAATTTTAGTCACACCTACAATTCTAAAACATATATATAAATAGATAATTTCAGTAATCAATACTGTAAACAAGATATAAAGAAAGGAAAATTCTTTTAGGAACAGATATGGGCTTTAATCTTTGGACTCTCATTTCCGCTAGGAGAGAGAAAAATAAAAATAAATATTCAACTGTGACTGTACCTAACAGTCACCTGTCCGAACAGAATAAATAACAAAGAGAATTTAGTACCGTGAAAGTGTGACTTCAGCTCAGCATGTGTAGTGATGCTGTTGGCTTTGCCATTTCTTTCAATACTCCAACTGTGACAACCAGGGAAAGATAAAGATTTTGAAAGAAAGGAAAATATATTCTTTGCTTATCTGAAAGTCCAGAAAATGATGGGGAACTCAGAAGATACATTTAATCGTTCCTCACCTCCATACTAGAAGCTACTTGACTGAACAGTTATAGGGGAAACACCTCACATTACATAATGATCGTATGTCAAAGGTAACATCAAGATCTAGCCTCACCTAGAAACTGGTGGAAGTAAACAATCTGAGTAAATTAGGTTTATCTTGTAGGCGCGATTAGACAAGTATGGTCTGCAGCTGCAAATATTCTTGGCAATTCTTATACAGATAAATGTTATTAAGGTATATTTTATTATTGGGACAAACAATATCATATCCTATAAACATTAAAATAGCAATAAAATTACTTACACGAAGATATTGTTATTAAGTATTTTTTTTTCTTTCTTTTCCCGAAGAAATTTCGATTGTTAGACCTCAAAACATGGAGATGCATATATGTATCAGCTCATATTTTTCTTTGATATTTACTTTGTGACAAAGATATTTTTTAATGCTAGAATGTAAAATGCTCTTTCGGGAATTTGTTTGTGAATTCTTTTGTTTGTTAAGCCATCCATCTTGGTTGTTGTTATACCATAATCCTTATCTTCCATTTTGCTTGATTTCGATTTAAAATTCTCTATCAGTAGAAAAACTAGAACTTCTAAACTAGAACACATTCGGGTATTTATTATCATTCATTTTAATTTATTGTAAATTGAATATTTTAGTTTAGATTATTTTAATATTAATTAATAAGGAATTAATAATTGTGATGGAAAGGCGGAATTTAGAAAAAGTACTAAATTGGAACATTGTATACACTTACCGACTTGCTACATTGAAATAAAATTAATCTTAAAAATAAGACAAAATAACTCACCATCTTACAATAATTATATTCATAGTTTGGTTAAGAGTAAATTTCATTTATTAGAATTAAAAAAAATACTCTATAAAAAAAAATATTTTGATTGTAATTTATGTAGGGATGCACAACCTTTTTCCATGAAAAGCTGCGTATCCAAGTATTTACACATGCATTTAGGATAATTTTTATGTATCAACGCAATTATTTTTATCAGCCAACTTAGTAATATAATGCATGAGCAGAGTGTCGTATTAATACATGCTAAAAATAATGGGATTTTGAAAAACCATGTGGTAATGCGTATTGCCGAAAAAACGATAAAAAAAATAGCGTGGATGTACGCTAAAATTGACACAAATAAAGTAGTACTTCAAAAGTCCGAGTCGTTATAATATCGTGTTAAAAAGACCGGTATTTTAAGAGACACCTGGAAATCTTCGAAATTCAAGTATCATAATATTGTCGTATGAAAAATATTGGATTTCTAAAACTATATAAATCCGTATAGTGATAACCATCGAGAAACGACAATGATTTAGATTTGGCGCATTCGAAACTCAAATGACCTATTCAAAATTTCCAATTTTTTTTCCAAAAAAAAAAAGTCATAATAGTTTTATTATAATTATTATAATGCTCAGTTGCTGCCGTGAGCCGCACATCAAGACCTGGTGGGCAGCAGGCTGTGCTCACCTGCATATAGTGTATTATTTCTTGCGCTCTTACGCCTTTAGTGCCCCCCTGAGCAGCAGGGGTTGCGGGGGTGTTATTTACGCCACTGTTTAATACGATATTTAAAAAAAAGTTCATAGTTATTACCTGAGTTTCAGTTAAGCCTAAACCTTCTGCAAGTTGTTTTCTTTCATTTCCTGTAACATAATGATTTTTATCAAACGCACTTTCTAATTTCATGAGTTGAGATGCTGAAAAAGCAGTTCGTATTCTTTTAGCTTTTCGAAATGGAGGAAGCAGATAACCAGATATATCTGGACCTGTAAAAAAAGAAGCACATGTTTTAAGATTTTGATTATGGTATGTTTAACAAATCAAGAAAAAATTTACAAATTTCTTTTTTAATTTTAGAAGCAAAATATAAGTTATGACAAAATGTATTAGCTACGAATTTCAGAGTTTTAACCCATTGTTTCTTTATTAGGTTATCTTGACGCTGGCACCTTTGCAGGTTCTACTAAGAAAACTTTGACGCAGTTTTCCCAGCACCAAACTCTCAAAAAAATTGGTTCAGTACTGTATCTTAATATCCGTGTTTTGAACCAAAATACTGTGCAAACTGATTTCAATCCTTATAAGGTGTTCAATTGAGCCAAGGTCCTATTCAAGTTGAACCAAATTTCTATTCAAGTTAATCCATAACATATTTTATTCAAGTTTAAGAAGTATAATAATAAAGTTCGACTTTGAAGCACATTTGGGATGCAGCTAATTTCAACGATATTGTGGCTCAACATGTTTCAAAATTTTTAACATTGTACTAGCGAAAAGGAAAAAATCGCTGCAACCCATGAATATTTTTATTTGTCTAATGTTATTGTGTAATATTTAAATAAACTAATTCTGAATTTTTAAGCCAAAGTGAGAAAACATTTTTTCTCCATCAGTTCTACTTTTGAAAATTATAAGTTTACATTACTTGTAAAACATGTGAAAAACATATCTTTCAATTCTTCAAAAAATCGGTTTATGGTCAGCATTTCGAAATGGCACTGACCATGAGGGTTCTATGATCCAGTTCTACTCTAACTAGCAACAATATCATGTCTTGGAAAGTCTAACAACTGAATGGGGAAAACATATGTTTCCATGTTTGATCCATATAACGTGATTTAATTCTAATTATTAATTTCCATTCCAGTATCTATCAATCAAATATTTTTTTCCCCATAAATAAGTGACTTCCTTTCTCCATCGCAAATATTTTTTTGTAAGTAAATAAAAAACTATCAAGCTTCAAAGTCAAAAATATATCAATAACTTTCCATCTTAGTAAAAACAACCACTAAATGACAATCGATTAAAAAATATTTTTAGTAAAAAATTAGTGCAAAAACCACAATGAAAGAGATTAACAGAAAAGCAAAGTTGCAAAGTCAATTACGGAAAATATTCTCTTTTTAATAAAAAAGGGGATATTTAGGAAAATCCATCAACGTTGTGCTGCTTCAACAAAGCGAAAGAGGGTTATAATGTAAAGAGGAATTTAGTGCTTGATTTTTAAAAACTAATCAATAATTTTTGTCTTTAATGATATATTTGGGAAGAAAACAAAATATTTTTATAATTATTATAATCATTATTATTTGTTAATGTTTACAAAACATTTTCGAGCCTCTTACTACTGTAATGAAAAAGAAAAGAATTCCATAAAAATAAGGGGGGGGGGGAATCAGGCAGCACTAAGACAGGTGTTAAATGCATTTCATTATCAGTTATTAGATTTCCCTCTAACACCTGTTTGTTCAACATTTTTAACACATCGTGAATAACTTAACTTACATAATGTGCTCACATAACTTCACATTTTAGTTTTCTCTTCATCTCTAAACTATTTATAGCTCATTAAATAGGATTATCTGTCTGACAAGCTTAAGAGATTAAACATCTCTCTGACATATCATAAGATCATGAATTATGCATTTGCTATTTGCCACACTTCGGTGGCCATAATACTGAACTTAATCTGAAGATCAGAGAAAGGTCAAGATTTTCAAATTAGTGTAAACTAACACAAGCTCGTGTATTCATGTTATTTGTTGATATAGAGTTTAACTAGATTAAGCGCTACTTAGAGCGTCCTACACTAAAAAAATAGTATGTTCACTCCTTTATATTATTCACCTTCTTTGCGTTTTTTTTTTTGCTAAAAAGAAAAATAAATCTGATTTGGTTCGTAGTCCCCTTTTATCTTACAGCTTTTATGTAACGTATTTATTTTTAGAGAAGTGTTTTCTTTTGTTCATTTGGGAAACATAGTATTTATTTTAAAATCATGAAAGTCGCAGCAAAGTATTTTATTATCCTTAAAAAAAGGGAAAATGCGCCTTCGTGCCTTTTTCATATGCATCTTCAAATTTAGGGGTACGACTAGGTGCCTAGGCTAGCTAGTGATTAAGTTGGTATTTAGAAAACTTTTTTTGATGCTTAAATGAAAGAAATTACAAAAGATTATTTGAATTTATTGTATAGAATTTAAGAATATAAGTAAGCTTTATTGCTGTTTAGCTTGTGTTAACGCTCTTAAAATAGAAAAAGTACTATAATATATTTTCTTATAGTGTACTTTTTCGCTTAAAATTGATATGCTTATTTAAAAAAAATTTTTAGACTTTTACGAATTTTCATTGTGAAGATTTTTTTCCACCAATATAAAAGTTTTTTTCAATTTTTTATTTGGAGAATATATAGCAATGAAGAAATGGGTTGTAGATTTAAATTTAAGTTCGGGGAAGATTAAAAAACAATATTTATTTATATTTCTGAATACTTTATTTCAAAAAATAAAAATGCAATAACTTTTCGTTGCTATAAATTATTTCCAGTAGCAAACCCCTTAACTATGTTGTTCTGGAGAGTGTTATGATTGAAACTATGGTTTGAAACAAATAATAATTTAATATATTTTCTAACCACCAGTCAACCCACAGTTCAACGTAGGATTAAAGGATTTGTTATTTTTAAGAAAACTGAAATAGTTTTTGCATATGACTAATTTTAAATTTAACTTTTAATGAACTGAAGATAATTTATGCATAATTTTTCAGGAGTAAAGAAAAAAATCAATTAGAATAAATTTTGCGACTGTCATTCAAAGTGTATGCCTATGTACTATAAAAATTTCCGAATCAAACTATTAAAAATTTAATGTGTAAATCTTATTTTACAATTTGATCGTATCACCTAAATTTAAATTTTCATGAGTCCAAACAAATTTTAATTTTATTAATATTCGATAATTAAACATAAATCTGGGTGCATTATCAAAAAAATTAAAGTAAAAGGAAATTAAAAAAAAAGTAGAAAATGAGAATCGAAAAAAATCGTGCAGTGCGAATCTTCTATATATATTAGAATAAAAAGTTACTTTTTAGTATTAAAACGGCAAAAAATATATTTGTAATGATAATAATACAAAGAATTGAATTTTAGTAGCATAGAATATAAATTAAGAAAAAAGTATATAGAGTAAAATAAAAATTGAAAAAAAAAAAAAAACAACTTGGGTAATTAGGATTACATTTGCATTTTCTCATTGTTTCCTCTTTAACATTTTCCATTACTAAAATATAAAAAAACATTTTCGCAATTTCTCAAATGATGAAGATTAAGTGAAATAGACTAGGAGTTAAAATTAGTGAAAATTATTAGTTATTTTATAAGATTAATGATTGAAAAGGAAAAGTACAATCTTCAATGAAAGTCAATTTTGATTCTTTTTTCCATAGTTATGAATATAAATTATACTCTAACTACATTTCATTTATGATTTCATGAGTAATATATGAATAGTATACAAAAATGTGAAAAGATAAATATCCTGAATTTTATATATATATATTGATATATCCTAGCACTATAGCGGGGACTGCAGATTATAGCAACATCTGCAGATTACTTTTAATTTTTAAAAAGCTAAACAAATAAGCAAATAAGAGAAAATTATTGAGACTCATTTTTAAAACATTTCTAAACTTGTTTCGAAAAACTGAATTGAGAAAACGCTGCAAGGAAGAAAAAGTAAAGATTTTTTGTTATTTGATTACAAAACTAAAATGTATAAGAATTCCTTACTATCCTCACATAAAATTTAACTTAAATTTAAACATGAAGTTTCATGTATATTTTTAAGGTCCTTATATTTGAAAATTTAGCTATATTTGGTGTTAGATAAAGCTAATTTTTCATAATAGTAATCTTCGTCTGGCTGAGTTGAGATTGCAGACAACATATATCAGGCCTTAAATTTCAAGAATTGCGGAATGAAAATGGATCGGATCATGATTTATTTTCTCTTCAACACATTGCCATTTTAAATTCGAAATGAAAGAGGAAATCTTTCTCCAAATAGGAGTCATTTTAATTCTGAAAAAAATGCAAATGCCGAAATAAACTGAATAATACAGAATTTTCTTAATTGAATTTTTTTCTGAGCAAACCACCCTTCTCCTCAAGAGAAACCACTTAATTTGCAACTCTATATTAATTAGTACTTTTAACTAAGCAAATCTAACTGAATAAAAATTTTGAATCTGTGTCATTTTGAATACTGAACAATATATGTTAAATTTTCTGAAGTATAGATATTATTCAAATTAAAATATGCAATATTGATTAAATAATCATTTTTATTTTTCCAGTGACCGTTAGAAATCTTTAAACGTGGTGAACTATAATATCAATAGCCTTAAAATAGTACTTAATTGAATCAATTTAATTAAATCATAGTATCGATCTTCTTGAACATGATTGCTCAAAACTATGGTTCAATTTCAAACCTCAGTTCAATACCTTATTAAAGTTTCAGCAAATATGCACCCTATTATAGTTCAACGAATCAATTTTTCAGAGAGAGCACGAAAAAAATGTCTCTAATTTTTTCCCTAAACATATGCAAATCTATTCAATAAAATAAATTCCAAATAAATAATTTTATTTTGAAAAGAAATTTAATAACTTCATTTAATAGATTTATTCCAGACTAAAACTTGTCTGCAAAAATTTCATTCAGCTGAAATTTTGCTTAAAAAAATAATTATTCAGATTTCAAGCATCAAGAAGTAAAAAGAACACTAATCTCTTTACCATTTTAATAATTTTCTCATTCTATTATCATTTCAACTTTTTTCAAAATGTAATTTTTTTTTAATCCAAAAAGTAACGAAACGACTTCTGTTATAGGAAAAGTATTAAATTTTGCTGTTTTCAAAATATGTAGTAAATATTCAACTCAAAGAAAGAGTATAATTTTATTACCTGAGAAAAAAAAAATCAAGAACTACATCTAGTTCCATAAAATATATTATTCTTATTTTGTGTACAATCAATAAATTATACAAAGTGACCTAATCTTTATTTAGGAAAACAATTTATAGTCACTAGAATATCAACATCAATAACTCTTTGCGTGTAGGACATTATCATGAAGAAAAAAAATTCTGGAAAAATTACAGTATTGTATGGTATTGCTTCTGATAATAAAAAAACGTAATTCTGGCAAAAAAACAAATATTTACTCTATTTAAATCATTCATTTGGTAATTTTTCAAGTCATATGGTAAAGGTTTACCGGAATTTCTGGTTTTTGAAATTATAGTACTTATTACCACACATTAAGTAAAAAATACAAAACTGAAAAGTAAATTTAACCGAATAAATGGTTTTTATGCCATGCTCTAAGGTATCATGATAAATTACCAAATTTTATCACATTTACTAAATTTTATCACATATTATAAAATCATATTTTATTGCTAATTTTACCAAAATCATTACCAAAGCGCTTTGGTAGAAATTACCGAGCTTTTTGGTGTTTAAATAAAGCCAGAAGTAAGGTAAATTTTACTCTAACGACAAAAAATAAATAAATAGAAATAAAAAAGCATACCTGGAAATTCATATATTGGGTTTAATTATTTATTGGGCTGTCTAGAAATTTAATGGTTCTTACACCAAAATTTTTTCGAATCTATTAACCACAATTGTTATAGAAGAGAAAAATCAAACACATCTCAAATTCTAAATAAATAATAGTCAATTGTGAGAAATTGCATTGTATATTGGTCAGGAATCTCCTAGATATTATGACAGAACTTTTATTATTTGTCAATTGTCAGAAAATAAATTTTATATTGGTCCGAAATCTCCTAGATATTATGACAGAACTTTTATTATTAGTCAATTGTCAGAAATTAAATTTCGTATTGGTCAGAAATCTCCTAGATATTATGACAGAACTTTTTAGCAATGTTAGTGTAATAGAAAGAAAAGGAACATACCTGGAAATCTATGTAGAAATCTTTGCCGATGAAAATACCATGGATAACCGTGCAATGCCTCACCAGGTAAAATCATACCGGCTAAAGAATGGTCCATACCTGCGGCAGAAACATGAGGCAAAGTATGTTGATACAAAGCTGCGTTGAAAAGACCGGCTCTCTCTCGACTACCGACTACAGTTCTAAGAGTCGGTGAAGTCCCGGTAAGCCCGCCGGGAAACGTAGGAATAGGAACAAGTACGGAAGGCTTCGGTGGCACAGGAACATTTAAAGGAGAATGTGACTTCGGGATTTCTTCTGTGTGAAATTTATTTATACTAAAGTCTTTGACAGAAACCGGAGAAGCATTGTCTCTGCATATTGAAGTGTCTCCATTATCACTAGCTTTGCCCATCAATGCATCGATGGAAAATGTTAGTTTTGGTTTATTTAGATCCATTATCGAAACATTCGAAATCGCTGTCATTTTTTAAATAACATAATATAAACTCGTTCACTTTTCGCTGTTAATATCGTCTGATCAACAGTAGAATTTTTTTCTTATCCATGTTTTTTATATTTATTTTCCATTAATTCAAATTTATTTGTTACTACCCATTGTCTAAACGTGCAATTTTTACAGTATATGTGATGGCAGTAATGCGATTTAAGTAATAAAAAAAGGTTTTGTAGAATTTAAAAATAGCTTTAAATAACAAGTTTCCTGCCAAGCTAGATTAAAGATTCAATTCTCTCTTAAAAGCGATACTCATTTATATTGCGCTCCTTTGAATTTTCTAGCAAGCGATTTTTTTAATGAAATAAAAATTTAAGAATACGTAAAATTATAACGGTGAAAAAAATAACAAAATTATTGTTTGTTGCGTGAAACTTGAAAGAAAATATTCGAGTCTGCAAAAATATTCTACTCCACACTGTGCTCTCTGAATCTTCATTAATAAAACATGCGAGCGTCAACACACAATCTGAACATTAACTTCTGTGTTTAGTCGAATTGATTCCGAAAACATTAATGAATGTTCAACAAAAGCCACCCTCAGTAACTTACGCTGAAATTTCATTGGATCCAACAATTCACGTGACATTCGTTTACAAGAAAAGTCTTATTTACGAACGAGATACGGCATTTTATTCTCATTGGTCCAAAGTTCCACTGTTGCTAATAGATGGCGCTGATCTTTGATTCCCTTCGTTTTTGATTTGGAAGTTAGTTTTTGTTTCGTATGATATTTCATATTTATGGTTTTAACCGTTTCTCACCGTTCACTGGTGCAGCTGAAGTACAGTTATAAAATTTTCCGCTCGACTTATTCAGCTATATATAAATAATTGTTTGATCAAGTTGTCAGAGTTGGTTAAGAATATGATTATAAAGCATAGTTTTTAAATAAAGTTTTATTTAAAATGGAAATTCCGTATTTAGTTTTCAAAACTGAGAGAGACGCTGATTTTTCTCCCAAAAAATAGAGCATTCATATAATAAAATTTCGAAATTTTTATTTTAAATTTCAATGAAAAAAATATCAGGTAAGTAAAATTAATACAAAATTATATATATATATATATATTTTTGTAAGAAAGATCATAAAAAATTTACATTGACCCACGAAAAAAGAGATTATAAAATGCAAAGTAAGGGGGGGGG